AACGAGAGTGGAAGTGCCGCCATGCGCATGGCCGAGACGCTGCTTCGCATCCTCCCCATCGCACTCTGTGTGGCGGCGCTCGTCATCATGCTCAAGGACTCCGAGACTAACGACTACGGATCCTTGTCTTATTCTGATATCGGAGCATTCAGGTAATATAATAACCGCAAACTATTAACCGTATATTTTAACGACTCGGTTTATTTTTAGCCTGATTATGTTATATATTTAGGTTGTTGATCTGTTTCTTTTTTTAAATAGATATTTGGTTCATGCAAGCGGAGTTTGTGCCGGTTACTCCTTACTTTCGGCGGTAGTGGCTGCCGTGCCCCGGCCTTCCTCCATGTCACGGGCTTGGGCGTTCTTTCTCCTTGACCAGGTTCTTCTATTCTATCATACATTTCCAGGCAAAACAATAGTTGTTACTCACACTTGACAGATGAATTGAGAGAGAGAGAGAGAGAGAGAGAGAGAGAGAGAGAGAGAGAGAGAGAGAGAGAGAGGTAATTCTTGTAAAGAGTGTGCCGTAGCAACTCAGAATGAAAATCTTATAAATAAAATTATCTTTTCTAATCTACCATAGCTTAGCTTCGGAACCCAGAACTTATACAACGTTTCATTTATTTTCTAAAATTCTTATCTTGTATAAATAAACAACATGAGCTAATGCTGCTTGTTTTTTTGGTCATGTGATGATGCAGCTTCTCACTTATGTTATACTAGCAGCTGGGGCCATATCAACTGAGGTCGTGTACCTTGCGTACAAAGGCGACACCTCCATAACATGGAGCCAAACTTGCGGCTCATTTGGGGGTTTCTGTCGCAAGGCCACGGCCTCGATAGCCATCACGTTTGTCGTGACTCTTTGCTATGCTGGGCTTTCACTCATCTCGTCTTACAGGCTATTCAGCAAATACGACGCCCCGGTGGCCTACACCAACAAAGGGATTGAGGTTGCAACTTTCCAGGCCTAATTAGACCTTCCTTTTTTTTTTGTATTATTTTCCAGAAAGCCATGTGTACTTTTAATTTCTCTACTGTTTTGTACACTTGCCAATAACTGTAGAGTTGGGTTTGGGGTATCCATAATCAAGACAAGACACTGCTTGCTCATCACTGTGTTTTACTATCAGTCTTGATGGATTTATAATCTAGTTGGGAGAACATGTGGTGGCAATTCCTCGATTTTAAATCATGAATTAAAGCTAGTTAATGATATATGAATGGACGGGATGGATGGAAAATTGAAAAACAAGATTGAGGGATAAAACCGATGATCTATTAAGGTTCTCACTTCCTCTTCTCGGAGACTCGAACCCATGATCTATTGGTCATAAGTGAAGCGTCTTACTCACCCAGGTCTATTCAACACTCAAAATCCAATAATTTATAACTTCATCTCTATGGAGTATGGACATACTATCGTTATACAGTTCTTCCGCATAGTTATACAGTTCTTCCGAATAGTGTGTTGTACGTGCATTGATACCCTCAATAAACCAAGCCATAAGTTTCTCATTCCTTCATAAATTATTCATAAAATGAGATGAAATCATGAAATGGACCATTATCGGACTAAATACCAGAAAATTCTGCACGTGAAATAGAAATAATAGACGGCAAGACAAGTAGAGCTCTAAAGACAGTGTGAAACAAGCAATCTCGGGAAATAATTACAGTTGCAGTTGTATAATTCTTGAAACAATATGCCTCCAGCAAGATACTTTTAGGACAAATTACACATGCTCTCTTTGTTCATGATGTGTTATTGCAACAAGTTTACGAAGGAACTACAAACTTTGAAACATAAAACACAGAGGTACTCTTGGATATTCGATGAACATTACGGCTAGCAGGATTTAATCTATTCCATATAGAGGATAAACCAGCACATATAATTTTAAGGCGGTTGGTTAGTCTGGAGCTGCTATATTTTATCTTCGGTGACTGCTTTTAGAAAGCAATAACTGCAACAAATGACATTCAACAATGATTTATTAGTGAGGGCATATTATACAAACCCTTACATATCCTTCTAGGAAGGCAACACTAAGATTCAGGCCAAGGCAAAATGTAAGGTAATCATTAATCACATACATGATTTTAAGCCCATTTAACTGTCATAAATGAAGCTGAAACATACTTATATTAGCATGCCTTACAAATACTTCAATTGAATAAATGGCTAGATATATCAATCAATTGAAGGTAATCATCCATCAGAAGTAGAAAATTACCAGACACCATATTTCTAAAATAGACTCAGGTTCAATTCTTCCCACAGCTTTTGTTGAAAGAGTGCCGTGGCAAGAGCTTCCGGCTTGGAGCATGATGATCATCCTGCAGCCAAAGTACATGTGAAACTAAGAGCTTCAAAATCGTGCAGACAATAATAATATAAATCAAAAGGGTAAGAAATAACTGAAAAAAATACCAAATTCCTAGATACAGCTGCAGCTACATAGAATAGAAGGCAATAAACCAAGTGAGACGAAGGAATGTGAGTTATGGATACTCATCTTCCAATATGAGGAATGGGGAATAAGTTGGCAGCAATGGTACTACAAATAATGCTATACATCTCATTTTTTTTAGTATACAATGTTATTTGCTCAATAATATGATAATTGTGGTGATGACAACTAGGGAAAGGAATATAAATGCAGATTAGAGTATCACAACAATGTCAGAAA